GTCTAGTGCTGGTTTCCAGCACCCTCTCTTCACCCACCCCAGCACCGATCGCTGCCAGGGCTTGCAAAATGGGGGAGTTGCAGGAGACGAGGATGCTTAATTACAGAGCAGCCCTGGAAACCAGCAACAGCAGCAGCACTGTGGCCAGGAGGGGAGGCAGCAGGGCTGTAAATAGAAATTGCGGAGGCAGCCACGGGGAACAGAGTGAGGGAGGCTTCTGCGCCTGCATCGCTCCATCTCCTTCCCTTCCCCTCAGCTTCTCTCACCTCTCCTGGCCACCCTGGCTCCCAGCACAAACCAGCGTGTGACAAGCAGCCCCAAAGTGTGACTGGGAGGTAGCAGCTCCGGAGGCAGAACAGCTGCTCGGGGTGGAGAAGTGGGTGTGCAAGGCCACCTCCATCAGGGGCCACCTCCCGTGGAAACGTATGAGGAAGGAGGTCAAAGGGCCTTTTTGGCGAGCAAGGAGACCAGGGCAAGATGGATGTGGGGCCAAATTGCCCCATCTGCCCCCTCAGAAGGGACTGTGGGATGCCAGATGTCTGAGCCTCCGTCCCACTGGGGTCTGCCCAGGGTGAAGTCCCTCTCATCCCACCTTGACATCTCCACTATGGCCTCTTCTACAGCAGCAAGAGCTCTGCTTTCAGTATTTTGCAAAGTTTTATTTAAAAATGTTGAAACTAACATCCCACAAGAATTGAATATTTCACCACGAGGAGAAGAGAAATCCTACAAAAATATATATCACAGCGCACAAGGGCAGGGGAGGGGGAAGAGCAAGACTGAGCAGGGAAGCAGGAGGGAAGACAGAGGGGAGGATGGAAGCCGCAGCAGAACGAGACTGAGTGGCAAAAGGAGAACAAGAGAGGAGTGGGGAGAGTGAAACAGTAGGAGGGGAGAGATAACTGGGAGGTAGACCATGGTACAGGACAGGAATGGGAAGCGGGAAAACAGTGGGAGAAGGAAAACAACAGGAAAAAAGGAGCAGAAGTAGAGAGCTGGCAGTTGGTGAAGGAAGGGGGCCCCCCTCTATGGTCTTGCCAAGGTAGGGCCAGGACTACAGTGAGACATCAGCAGGGTTGCAATCGGGGAGCTGGAGTTTGGCCCAGGGCTTTTGTGCTGCAGGACTTGGCTCTAAGGCTGTGCCATAGATGTGGTTTGTTGGAGTGAAAAAACAAAACCACAGTTTAATTCAGAAAAATCTGAAGGTGACCGTGATTGAGAATTTGTGGGGAATGAACAAACTGCTCCTTTCCAAGCATTTTTCCTTATCGGGAAAGGGAGTGGGGAATGAAGGGACCAGGTTTGCAAGGGCACTTAGGTGCCATTGAGGAAGAGGTAGATAGCCCTCTCTGAAGCTGTGGGATGCGCGGCTGGATGTCAGTCCCTGGAAAGTGGACTGGAGGAGCGGTGTGGAAGCACACAACAGAAGCCTGCTCCCCTGCCTACCAGTCACAACCAACCAGATGGGAAAGCCCAAGCAGGATTTGGCCTTGTGGTCACACGACTCTGCTGAGTAAACGGAGGGAGACTCCAGCTCCTGCTCCAAAACAAGACAGGGCAGAGGGGGAGAGATTCTCCCCCAGACCTTCCCTCGTTCCCACAGTGCTCACAGAGAGACCACCCTTGCGTTAACAAAGCCAGGACCCTCCAGGAGCTCAGCAGAGGCACGGTTCCTTCAACTCACCCAGCCCACCTGGATGTTCCTTTTTAATTGCACTGAAATGTTGGGCAGGCTCAGCCCAAGGCTATGAACATTTTCAGTCGGTTTCCCCACACACCTTTCTTGCTGTAAAATTTCCACTGGAAAAATTAATCCAGATCTTTCTCCTCTAGTCATCTAGAAGACAGAGAAACCTGATGGGCTGTGACTGAGAAGGTGCTGGCCTCTGCCTTGGCTTGGTACTTGGTGCTGTCAACCCGTCTGTGTGTGCATCTCACAGAGTATTAGCCCGGGCCAGGGAAGAGACTGCAGGCACGCTCTGGCTCCGGTCTGTGTCGGGGAAGACGGTGTACAAGGCTTCAGCCATGGAGAAAACAGATCCAGTGAGATTATTTATTGACTGGAAGAAGCTTGTGTGTCCACTCATGTTCTGAATGTTTTGTTTCAGGGGCAAAATGGAGCAATGAAGTTGTTTCCCCTATCTAACCTGTTTCGTGTGAGAGAGTGAATGACTGTCATAAAACTATATTTGGCTAGAAAAATTGGTCTTGGAAAAGATGTTCAGCATATCCAAGCTTCTGTCACTCAAAGTTTTTTCTACTGCATTCACCAACTTCCCCCTTACCACAGTATCCATGAAAGGTTTCACACCCTGGAGATACTTTTACCAAAACCAGACACATGTTAAAGGGGAAGAAAAAAACCCCAAACTCCAAAATCTCATTTGTTTGCAGAGTTTACAAAAACCTGGCCAGCAGAGCGTAGGGCTTCCCCACATCAAGTTTTGGAAAATGTTCTCACTATGCCTCCTGTGGTGCCCTGCCACTTTCTTACAGACCTTCTCTCCATGCAGCGTGTGGAAAGGGAAGGTCCAAGGACAGTGCTTGAAGTGGTAGAGTCTAAACTCTGGCCTTGTTTCAACAAGCACCATTGATCAAAGAGCAATCTAATTAGTCTGGTCTGGAAGATTACTTAAACCAGTTCAAGGCATTATATTGTAAACTGACAGTAATAAGCAGTGCGGCCTCTTCCAGACTGCGTGCAGATGTCCTTCCCCAGCCCTGATGTGCCAGCGAGGGGGAACAGCCCCGAGCTGACGGTGGCGAGCGGGGCAGTGGGCAGGAGCAACCATCTGCCTCCTTCTCTGTCCATCCGCCGTCTGAATGTCCGCCAAAGCCTTGAATGGAGCCTGAATAAGGAAAAGGCTCAGTAATAGACTGATGTATGGTAAAGCAGTAATATCCCCTGCTATAAGCGGAGACTCAACCTGTGCTTAGACTAGAGACCTCCAGAGTCCTTTTCCACCTATATCTTTCAGCCATTCTGTGCTTTTAATAAGCCAGTAATTTTATTTGACTTGTCATTTTCTCCAGATTTCTACTGTTTTTTGCGAAGCTTATTGCAATTTACGCTCTCATTTAAATGTCCTTCACGGTGAGTCAGATGGGATCCAAGATCCCCTAATAGTTCAGCTGGGTAAAAGGGCAGAACCGGGCCTCTTACGAAATTCCCTGTGCTTTGTCCTATAAAGAATAGACTTTTACTGCAGAGATAAATGATGAAAGGGCCATTTCCTTTCCTCCAAGATGACTTTTGTCAGCGACCTCGTATGGTGCATTAGGGCCTTCAAATTGTGGGTGAGTTTCCTGTCTCTGGCCACATCAGTCCAGCAGCTGAAGGTGTTTATACGGTATAGGGGCAACCTTACCTAAACCTGCATCATTTCAGCTCAGTGGCTGTCAATGTGGGGTCTGTGAATTACTTTGAAGGTGTCCACAAAAGCCAAGGGCAAGCAATTATTGGCATTAAGCTGAAATTTGCCATTTCACACTTCCTCAAAGTGACACCCATGGATCCACACATAGGAAGAGGTTGAGACGCGCCAATCTTGCTCACACAAGTAACTGACAATGCGGCTGCCTGCCCTACAGCCCACCACAGCCCCAAAGGACACACACCGATACCTGTGCCATTAGTGTCAGTCCCCAACCAGCTGGGGCAATACATTTATGAAGGTTGGCACCCCAGATATCCCCTCTCTCATGCCCTTAGTGAGCATGCCTTAGAGAGCATTGCCTCGTGGGTCTCCAGGCACCTTGCATTCCAGGAGAGACCTACCAGCAACCCCCAGTACATGGCAACTCTCCAAATGTTCCCAAGGTCAACTCTAAATTGCTCTTTGTCATCCCAGCTGCAGAGAGTCACGTCTGCTGCTTGTTGCCTGTGGCATGAGTGTCTGAAAGAAATTCCCTACCTCAACTCGGCAAAACTCAAGTTCCTTGTGCCCAGCTATATCTGCACACCATGCTTTAGATGCTTCAGCAGCATCCCAATGTATGGAATGCTTGCTAAATAACATGATGGGAAGAGGCCTTCGCCTCAGGTTTTCTGAAGAACGTCACCATAGAGTGATGTTCTTTAGGAAAACCTTGTTGAAGGAGACTGGGGAGGTAGAGGGGGACAGCAAGGAGGCTTCCAAGAGATCAAAACATTTGGAAAGCTAAAGGAACCATTTCCAACTTTAACTGGCAAGAGAAGTGGCAGGGGGAGGAACTGAGAGAAAAAAATTGGGGATGAAGAAATGAAGAAAGAGACAAGCTGAGGGGAAGAAACAGAGGAGTGTTAGGCAGAAAGGAAATGGAAAGATGTGAGTATCTTCCATCTAGGGGAGAGGTAATGTTTTCTTCACGGAAATGGGTTGCTGAGGGGGCCCAGGTGCTGTGTGAGCCTCTTCTGCCCAAGCCTCATCCACCCTTGGGACCCTTGAGAGGGCCAAGGCCTTGGGAAAAAAAGAACCTGCCGCCACCTGAGTCCTGGCTCAGGGGAGACCGAGCCCCAGCAGGCAATCCTGCAGCCACTGAACTCCAGACGTTCACTTCAAAGCACACAACATGGCAAGGGACACACAGAGGGGTTAGGGCCCACGGGGACAGGGGTATGCCTTTCCGCCTTGCCTAGCCCTGATGTCAGGCATGCACTGGTGAGAGAGTCGCGGAGATCCAAGTGTGTGTGTGTGTGTCTGCGTGTGTGCTAGGAGAGGGGCCGGGGAGGCCAAGATTTCACACCACCACCAGCTGTCTTCCCTCCCACCATCCTGCTCTCTCATCACTCTGTCCTGCGTGGGCAGGGGGGGTCCCCAACCTTCCCCCAGCAGGAGGCTAAGGAGGCCCAGCTTGTCCATTTGCCCAGGCACGTCCTGGTGGAGTTAGTTAATAATGGTGGTGGTGGGCCGTGGCACAAGGAGGTTGTTTTTTCCTGGGGTAGCAGAGGTGGCGGGAGTCTGTGCTCGCCAGCTGTGACAGGAGGGTGGGGGGAGCCAGCTCTGCTTCTCCCGTGAGCATCACAGGTTCACCAGTGGGATTCTGGGGGGAAAAGGGGCAACGGGAGCTTATGCTGCCCCACCGCCCCCGCTAACCTTTGCCCTGCCTCAGCCTGCCTGTCCCCCTGTCCCCTGCCGCCCCCTCCTGCCCTGGCTCGCTGGCCACTCACCGGTTGAGCTGGAAGGCTGTGCTCTTCCCATGGCCCCCCAGTTTCTCCACACCCTCCTGGCCCTGCCTGGACTCCTCTGCCTCAGGCGTGGGGGCCAGGGAGTCGCTGTAGGGCCCCAGGATGCTGACGGTGGTGGGGGAGAGGTCTGTGAGGGGCTGCTGGCTTTCCTGCTGCCTCCCACCGCTCTGCTGCCCCGAGTGACGCCGGCGTTTCTGATTACGGTCCCAGCTTTGGAGAGAGACAAGGGGTGAGGTAAAGAGTGTCCCCTCAGACAAGCCCCAGCCCTCGATGACAGGGAGGTTTGTGGCACCCTGCTATGCTCAGCGTTAGAGCCCACCTCGGCTGTGTGCCAAACCTCGCAAGGGCTTGCAGCACCAGGTCTATACCCTTGGGACAAATGGGTCCCAAGCCCGCAGTCCTCCTGCCCACCCACCTGGAGACACCGGCGTGGTGACAGCCTCCATTGGCCCAAACCCCACTCACCAGAACTTGAATATGATCCCGGTGGCAACCAGGACAATGATGATGGAGATGGTGATGGTAACGTATAACTGGGGGTCCACACCTGTGAGACAGAGGGGGAGAGGAGGGTGTGATGGCCACCCTCACCGGTCCCTGGAGAGCAGCAGTGCAAGGGGAGGTTCCTCCTGGGGCCCTCGTGAATTTTGCAGAAGGAGCTGCTCCTGCAGGGACAGGGGGTGAAAGAAGCAAAGGGCAGATTTACCTTCCCCCCGGGGCCCAAACAAGAAGGGCCGCAGGGTGGCTGGGGTCTCGCGCAGGTTGAGCCCTGCGTTGTGCAGGAGCGAGTGGGAGTTGGGCTGCGCCGTTGCCATCCCGTGTGGTGAGACAAAGGTGTATCCCAGCGGTGGGAAACCTGGGTTGGCCGAGTTGGTGTCCCCTCCGTCCTCATCCGACACCGTGGGGCCCCACACGATGGCCCAGGGGTACTGGGAGGAGGGCATGCCGTCCTCAAATCCAGAGGGGGTGGCAGGACGGGCCCCCGCCGCCTGGCGCCTCATCCGCACGACGTGCCGCAGCTCTCCCCCCCGGGGGGGCAGGGTCCGCTGGCGCGGCATGGCGAAGCGAGAATCCCTCTCCGGCAGCGAGGTCCTGTCCCAGATGCAAATGGGCCGTGGGGCTGACGGGCTCCGACGGGTGCAAAGAGGCCGAGCGGCCACCGGACCCCGAGAGCGAAGAGACCAGACAGCAGGAGGAGGGACGGCCGAGACCAGGAGGAGGAGATGCAAAATGGATGCAGGAGAGGAGTGGAGGCATCCTGCTGTGGGGCAGGGGAGGAGGAAGAAGAGAGCCTTATCTGAAACGTCCCTTCTGTCAAAGGGCCAAGCCCGGAGCAGCCGGGAGCAGCCCACCACCCACACTCCCGTCGTCTTCCCGCGTCGCCGGCAAATGTGGGAAGCTGTGAACCTACCAGGCACTGGGCTCCATCTCAGATGCGACAGCGTCTTTGTTCAGTGAGGATTCTGTCTCATCTTCTTCACTGGGAACCAAAAGGGAGAGGTATCAGTGTCCCCACACCCAGCAGCCACTCT